AAAAAAAAAAAAAAAAAAAAAAAATTTATAGCTTGACAAAATGATTTTAAAGGTCAACTGGGAAGAAAAAAATCATAAGAAAATGTTGGTGAAGGCCAGTTGCGGTGGCTTGTGCCTGTAATCCCAGCACTTTGGGAGGCCAAGGCAGGCAGATCACTTGAGGTCAGGAGTTCAAGACCAGCCTGGCCAACACGGTGAAATCCTGTCTTTACGAAAAAAATTCAAAAATTAGCCGGGCATGGTGGCAAGCACCTGTAGTCCCAGCTACTTGGGAGGCTGAGGCAGGAGACTTACTTGAACCTGGGAAGCAGAGGTTGCAGTGAGCCAAGATGGCGCCACTACACTCCAGCCTGCGTGACAGAGCAAGACTCTGTTTCAAAAAAAAAAAAAAAAAGTTGGTGAAGAATAATGAGATTTATTTTGCCAAATACTAAAATCTGCTACTACAGTATTTTATTTTGTCTATCCGTGTTTTTGTTTTTGTTTTGAGATAGTGTCTCGCCCTGTTGGCTGGAGTGGAGTGGTGCCATCTCAGCTCACTGCAACCTCTGCCTCCCTGGTTCAAGTGATTCTCCTGCCTCAGCCTCCAGAGTAGCTGGGACTACAGGTGCTGGCCACCATGCCTGGCTAATTTTTTTGTATTTTTTTAGTAGAGACATGGTTTCACCGTGTTGGCCAGGCTGGTCTCGAACTCCTGGCCTCAAGCTATTCACCCACCTCGGCCTCCCGAAGCACTGAGATTACAGGTGTGAGCCACCACGTCTGACCCTACAGTATTTTAAATGGTATGGAACTTGATGCAAGAATAGGCAAGTCAGTGGAAGAAAGTAGAAACCTAAAAATACCCCCATGTGTGTATGCACATGGGTAGATATTGTCGTTTCAAGTACTAGTATTTCAGATATGACCAGACAAAATGGATTGATCCATGCTGGTAATTATAGCACAGGGCAATAAATAATTTCCAAGTATTTCTCACTGACTGGTTCCCTCCTTAGGCTTTATACTTCTCACCACTTTGCTGCCTCCTCCCCAGGGCCTCGTCTTTTCCCTCATCCCTTCTAGGCCCCTCCAGAAAGTACTCTAGCTCTCAGAACATCTTCCAAATTCTTTTTGGAAACACCAGAGTTCATTGAGGCATTTTATTTGTTAAGTATGTATTACATTCCTAGAAAAAGAATTCCAGGATTTTCCCTCCTGTGTGTTTTCATATTGCTTCTTCATGGTCCATGATGCCAGATGAGGTCATTAATACAGTGAATCCAAACTGGTAGGATGGGAACAGGTTATTCTGCCGTTTTACTAGATCTTTGGGTTGCACATCAAATCTGGGGCTGATCACTCCACACTTGTTTAACCTGCCTGAGGTTCACAACAGTTTTCCCAGCTCTATGATCATCAGTGATTTCAAATTCACCAATGTAACCATGCTTCATCATCACAATTAGAAACCAGACAGTAACTTTGGAGCACAACCTAGTAAGAACCTAGTGTTTGCCTCTTTTTGGTATTGTTAATGCTCTGGATAGCATCGGCCAGGACATTCATGCACACCATTATGGCAGCATGGAGAGATGGCAGAAAGAACCTAAATTCTTATTGCTTCATTAGGCAATCAGTTTAGCTCTCTCCTTTTCCTAACCCCTCTCTCATCTAAGTTGAATAGTGCTTACCCTCATATATCACAATTACAAAGGAAAAAGCCTAAGCAAAACTGATTCCTTCACTATGAGATGTTTTTTAGTCCTCATAGATCAACCAACCAGCTTACACTACAGCCAGTTTTTAAAATAGCATTTCTTTTCTCCCCATGGGACAAAGAAATGAAAAATATTTATTCTCTCTAGTAATCAAGGAAATGCAAATTAAAGCAATCATGAATGACTTTTTTCCTCTTATCTAATTGGCAAAGATGAAAAAAAATAATCATTATCCTAGTAGAGCAAGGGACACATTCACACTTGGTAGTGGGAGTATAAATTGTTAAACTGTTTCTGGTGTTGTGTGTGTATCAGAAGTGTTATTGTAGGCCGGGCACAGTGGCTCACGCCTGTAATCCCAGCACTTTGGGAGGCCAAGGTGGGCGGATCACGAGGTCAGGAGATAGAGACCATCCTGGCTAACATGGTGAAACCCCATCTCTACTAAAAACATACAAAAAGTTAGCCGGGCGTGGTGGCGGGTGCCTGTAGTCCCAGCTACTCGGGAGGCTGAGGCAGGAGAATGGCGTGAACCTGGGAGGCGGAGCTTGCAGTGAGGTAAGATTATACCACTGCACTCCAGCCTGGGCGACAGAGCAAGATTCCATCTCAAAAAAAAAAAAAAAAAAAAAAAGTGTTATTGTATATACCCCTTGTCCTAGCAACTCAGCTTGTAGGAATTTTACCATACAGATCATCAAAGTTGTTCAGCAAGATTCATGATCGCTTTCATCTAGGCTTTATTTCTGTTGGTGAAAAATGAGTGCTGCCATACTAGGGAGTACACTAGGCCTTTATAGTAATGTTTGTAATAGACTCGGCCACTGTAAACATTATTTTGGAGAAGAATCCTATTTGACATTGGAAAATGTTCCTTAGGTGTGAAATGGAAACTTGGTAAAGTTTTTGGAGCCTGTATAAATGTGAAAGTATTTTCATTCATTTATATAAAACCACACCAAGATCCAAATAATAGAATCAACTGTTCATTAGGTGTCTACAGTGTGCTCAGTCTTTTGCTGGGTATTAGGTAGTATAAATATGTTTTTTCTTGTTCTTTAGGACTTTACACTATCATGGAACTGTTGTAGGGCTTAAAGATGTGCATTTGTTCCTTGCACACCCAGTAGATATAGCTATAATCAATGGGAAGAGCACATACAGGACATAGCTAGACAGGGATTTCAATCCTGTCCCTATCACATGCTTGTCCACTCACTTAGACAAATTATTTGAAAATGATGCTGACCTCATGGGGTGGTTATAAGTATGAGGGGAGGCATAACAAGGACTGCTTCCTGTGATGCCTCATGAATAGGAAGTATGTTAGTTCCTTTACTTTCCCTTCCAGAAGTTTCTATTTCCTCAGTATAATGTCTGCAGCAGTTATATTGGAAACTGAACTACTGAATGAATGAATGAGATACTGCATTTGAAAATATGTTATAAGCCTTAAAGCGTTATGAAAATATTAGCTATTAATATTTGAACAGTTTAATATGTATAACATGGCAAAATTCATGTATACATATATAGGTATACGTGGGGGGAAGGGGAGGTGTTTGTATGTAAGTGCTAAATGTTATGGACCATATAGGGTTGTTATAGAATGAAAAGCAAAGGAAGACATTAATATGGCTGGTAATCATTGAGGGGGCTTCTGGGGAAGGTAGGTTTGGAATGAACCCTTGAATTAAGGTAGGTTTTGAAAATGAAAAGCAATATATACAAAAAGTAAAAAAGAAAATGGTGTACTCGGGGAGTGATAATAAGACCATTCTGCCTAGAGAGGAAGATTTTCTTGAAACATCAGTGGACAGGGTAGGTAGAGGCGGCAAGGTGTGGCCAAGACAACAAGAGGCATTACTTATCTGGTGAGAAGTAGATAACAACTGTAAGTTCTAAGACAATATCATGACACTGTGTTACCAACACATCTGTGTGTTACAATATGTTTGTAGCAATGAACTTTGGGAATGGCAGTGCAAACAAAAATACATTTTATTTTATATATAAGTCATTGTTTTTTCCTTCCACAGCATATAGCCTGAATTTTTCCATTTGGTGGTAATAACAATAGCAAGATTTTTTTTTAAATCCTTGTATGCTACATAACTGAATATTTTTGGAATTTGACTTTAAAATATGCACACAACCCTAGCATTGCTATTTTCTGATGCTTCTTTTTGTGAAAACCTAAAGAAAATTTATAGTCAATTTTATATACTCATATTATTTGATATTACTGTTAGCCTGTTCTTCCTGTTTCTTTCCCTGCAGATTTTCAATGTGAAGATGACTATCATGCCCTTTGTAATTTATGTCTATATTTCATTGAAAGAAAGGAGATTTAAATAACATAATCCTTAGCAGTAAACCAACTAATAACTTAGTTACAATGTATTCACTTTCAGTGTTGTCTTCCTGGAATTTCCTCTTTTCTTATGTTCTTTTTCACATTTCTTTACAGTATGGATGGAGCAGATCTGTGTTTTGAAATCGTAAAGCGAGCGGACGCTGGTTTTGTGTACAGTGAAGCTGTAGCCAGGTATGTAGTGTATATCTAATCCCCAGAGGTCAAGGTGAAAGTAAAAAAAGAAAATGACAAAGACATCACATGACAAACTGATAAGAGCGTACTGCTGCTCTTTGCTACAAGGAACATCTCTGTTTTAGTATGTGTTAGTAGAATTGATAGTCACTGGAAATGCAAAATACCGAACAATGAGTTATCTATTAACATGGGTTTATAGGGGCCGGGCACGGTGACTCACACCTGTAATCCCAGCACTTTGGGACTCTGAGGCGGACGGATCACAAGGTCAAGAGATCGAGATCATCCTGGCCAACATGGTGAAATCCCTTCTCTACTAAAAATACAAAAATTAGCTGGGCGTGGTGGCATGCGCATGTCGTCCCAGCTACTCGGGAGGCTGACGAAGGAGAATCGCTTGAACCCAGGAGACGGAGGTTACAGTGAGCTGAGATCGCGCCACTGCACTCCAGCCTGGCCACAGAGAGGAGGTTGCAGTGAGCCGAGATTGCGCCATTGCACTCCAGCTTGGGCAACAAGAGCAAAACTCCATCTCAAAAATAAATGAATAAAATAAAAACATGGGTTTATAATACAAGCTTACATTTTCAGTACTGCTATCTTTCCCATTTGTGATGATTTTTGTACAAGAAGCGGGGATCTAATAGCTCAGGAACTATGTAGAATTTTACTTGGGTTTTTTTTATTTTTGTTTTAGCAAATCTGCCTCATTAGTTCTTCATTTTGCCTTTTAGTGATATCAAATTATCTCACAATAATTAACGAAAAATAAAGAAGAGTAAAAGGAAGAGAAATAGAAGCACCATTTTAAAAAATATATTTGCTTCAGGCCAGTGTGAGACCTACCAATCAAATGGCAGCTGTTTGTTCTAAGTGGAGAAGTTGTTGTAAAGACCTAATGACTCAAAATAAGAAGTAAATATGAAAAATCGCAGGAGCCATGCACGTGCTGGGCCACTTGCTTATAAATTTAGAGCAACACAGCTTTCTGTTTTGGTTACATTCAATCATATCATAATTACCCACTGCTGTAGGTTGCCTTTTTAATACATGGAATACAGCATCCCTCCTTAGTCACCAGGCATAATATGTTGAAGGGTTCAAACTCACAAACATATTAACTTTTTTGGGTCGGGGAAGGGGGACGGAGTCTCACTCTGTCGCCCAGGCTGGAGTGCAGTGGCGTGATCTCAGCTCACTGCAACCTCTGCCTCCCAGGTTCAAGTGATTCTCCTGCCTCAACCTCCCAAGTAGCTGAGATTACAGTCATGCACCTCCATGCCCGCTAATTTTTGTATTTCTTTTAATAGAGATGGGGTTTCACCATGTTGGCCAGGCTGATCACTCCTGACCTCAAGTGATCCGCACGCCTCAACCTCCCAAAGTGCTTGGATTATAGGCATGAACTCCCGTTCCTAGCCTAGGATTTATGAAAACTTTCTATCATTTGAAAAACAGTTATATTAAATGATTTCCTCTGTCTTATCATTTCTTTTATAATTATAGCATCTTAGACAAACATAGCTGGAAACAACTTGGAGACCACCTTAATACAGCTTTGAGCTCAGCATGACTTGAATGTCTTCAAATTCATTGCCCTGACTCCTTCTAGCTGAAGAGCAAGGGACCTAGTCTCAGGGATGGAGCAGCCATGGCTGTAGCACAAAATAAAGAATATGCTCAATGTGTGGTCGCTGTGTTTTTGTACTGCTGGGGCTAGGGCAAAGGAGCAAATGAAAGTTTATGTGTGTTCTTTAGGCTTCTGATCTATACGTGGTAGAACTGAAGCTAAATATCCTCTTTTCTTTTGTGCCATGTTCTCTAAAGCACATTCTAGGGGTTTTTTTAATCCTATCTTCTATTATTTTGAGTTTTTATTACAATTTTAAATTTTTATTCTTCCTTGTCTCTCAAAATTTTAAAGCATTCTTTCATACCAGAAATAGTCAATACTAGTGAAACTCAGTGGAAGAAGGAGATTTTTTTTCCTTCTTGAACCACAATAACACTGGGATACCTGGCAGGTATGCTGACAGGATTGATGTGAAACCAGTACCACTTTTACTCTGGTCCCCAGTAATCTATATTGCTTTTTCTTAACTTCAAGCCTATCTCTGCCACTGGGCTATGTGTCAGGATAGGCAGGATGGTAGTGTGAAGAGATGATGTCATATAATGACATGACTTGTGGTCTCTCCTAATCTTGAGATTTATAGAAAAGGTAGATGTTTATACACATCAAAATGAAAGCCTGTCGATTTTTTAAATCCACCTGTATAAGCTGTTAAAATGGTGAAACGAACTTTCCAGAGTGGACCAAAAAAGAGTAGCATTGACACCAGTAGGTGACGTTGCAAAGAGAGAGGTTTGGAGGCAGTTTATTAAAGATTCCTCCTCTGAACAATAAAAAAAGTAGGCGGAGACTCAGAAAGTATTATTATGTGTGTTTCCTATTGCAGAGGATCAATGACCATGCAACAAGTGCGCATAGATTCCTCCATTGGTTTAATGACAGATGACTTCTAATCTTTTTTCATCCTCGCTGATTCTGTGATTTATTGTTAGGAAATTTAGCTTGTATCAGTATTCTAGTGAGACCGACTGCAAGAAGACTTTGAGACACCAAGTAATCAAATTGATAATGTTGTTTTTCTCCAGCTGGCTGAGCTTCAAGAGGAGCAGCAAAGCATGGCATAAAGTAAAACTGTATTCAGTCCTTAATGCAACCCAATTAGTGATTACCTCCATCCTTTCAGGGGTGATGAGTTGTGGAGTGAGCTAACACACAAGATCATATTATCAAATCAAACTCTCAGAGATCTTCTTAACTAGTACCAAGCTTTACTAAATAATTTCAAGGATACAGGCAATCAGAAGGCTCAAGTGAAGCAGAGAGAAGGGAAGGGCAGCCCCCCACGTCACTTCTTACTGCCTCAGAAATGCACCTCTGGCCCAGAATAGATGAGGTTTATACTGGGATTTGTGAGTTTCCACACACAAAGGGGAGCATTGCAAATATCTTTATTTTACACCCCAGAGATTTGGATAGCTCCATGACATTCTCCAGGAAGCCATCTGTGCCTCAGAGATCCCATGTTCTACTTACCATAGTAATCCTTAGCCAGAGATATCCTGTTAAGGGCATTTCAGAGATAAGGTCTCTTCTGCCTAGCAAATAGCATTAGGCTTTGTCACCTGCATTGACAAGAAGAGCAGACTGAATCACCTCTCTTCTACCATGCTGCACCCCTGAAATGCCTCCTTCCAAAGGCAGTAAATGCATTGCTGGCCAGCTCTTTTCTTCCATGGAGTTATCTTGCTGATCCTTAGGAAAGATAAACAAATATATTGCTGAATTTCTCTGAAAGCACAGGTCCCTATGATGCTTCATGAAGTGAAATCTTTTGATTAAAAGTTTAGTCAGCAACTTTCTAGAACATTTGGGCAGATTTTAGTTCTTATTTTATTCTGCTTGCACACTTTGACATGCATTGCCTCCCAGGATCATGATTGGGAGGGTGGAGAAAGATAGTTCAGTTCTGTTATAACTTGGGGAGAAAAATAGTTCTACTGTCTCCACACACACCGCAAAGATTCTGCTGTGTACGTATGTTTGGGTCAAATAATTGAGTGTTCTCATATGCAAATGAAAAAATCCTCATTCATTGAGTTTTGTTTTGTGTTATGAGACTTTAAGATAGGAATTTTCTTTAGGTTAAAGATAATTTAGGTGACTGTCTCAGTGCTTTGTATCCCAAATAGTTCATTCTGTAGGTACAAGCTATGTCCACTTTAACTAATTTTAATTTACCCATTATTTCCATGTTGACATCTAGATGGACAAATAAGCTGTTCCTAAACCTTTGACTGAACTTAACAATAATAATATTGTAATAATAATGACTCAACCTTTGTAGCATGGTTTAGTTTACAAAGCACTTTGACAGGTGTAGTCTCTTAGCCATTTCAAGGGGTTACAGATCCTCCAAAGCCTGATTTGAACCAGTAATGGGCCACAACACCAAGTTAACAACCCCTCATTTAAACAAAACTTATGGCCAGGCATGGTGGCTCATGCCTGTAATCCCAGCACTTTGGGAGGCTGAGGCGGGCTGATCACTTCAGGTCAGGAGTTTGAGACCATCCTGGCCAACATGGTGAAACCCTGTCTCTACTCAAAATAGAAAAACTAGCAGGGCGTGGTGGCCCGTGTCTGTAATCACAGCTACTTGGGAGGCTGAGGCAGGAAAATCGCTTGAACCCAGGAGGCAGAGGTTGCAGTGAGCCGAGATCGTACCACTTCACTCCAGGCTGTGAGACAAGAGGGAAACTCCATCTCAAAAAATAAAAATAAAAAATAAACAAAACTTAATTACAGGCTACAATGGCCCAAGCAAAGAGTATATGAGCACAACCCCTTATATGTGCATTTGCAAAGTAAGATAAATTAAACATCAGAAGTAATGATTACGTGAGCCTAGCTCTCTGGCTTACAGCCCAGTTGTAAGGAGCCTGTGATTAGTACAGGAACAAGGCTTGGGTTTGTTTTTGTTTTTGTTTTTTTCCCCTACATTTCATTTTTAAAATGGAACCCTTCCAATTAGTTGTAATACATGAAATAATGCATATGCTAACTAGAGGAATACTCCTGTGAGCTTGATCAGATGGTATCATGCCAAAGAGGGAACTTGATGGAAATGTCTTTTAATTGTAAAGCCAGAATAGGGATTTTTTTTTTTAATTTTTCCTGAGTCACATACACATGTTCAAGGTCACTTGTATCAGAAATGTAAGATCTGGAAACAAAACAAAATTCTATAAATATTATACAATGAACAGTGTTAAGTCTGTTGCATTTCTGTCATGGTGGTTGGGAAGGAAAAGGAAAAAAATGAGAAAAGAAGGGGGATAATAGGAAGAAAAGAGAAAGACAAATATAGAGGGAATAAAATACAGAAAATGAAACAGATACTCAGAGAAAGAGTAATAGGGCAATTATAGAAGAACTTTAGAAATAGAAGGCGGTCCTAAAGTAGTACTGAATCAACTGTTCTTGTCACACATGGTTGCTAGTTAATCCCATTACCATTTTTTAATGCCTGTTCTTTAAAATGCTGATTTCTTCTTTGTTCTCACCTGTGCTCCAGGAGGGATCCTCAGCTGGCCATGTAAGGAGTCAGGCTTTCTAGGACATGTGCCTAGAACTAACTCCACTTAGTTCAAGGGAGCCCCAACTAAAACTTGATTATGTTACAAAAGGAAATTGTCTGATAAGGGCCGTTCTTCCCTCATTTGTCCTCACAGCTAAATGGAAGTAAGATGGAGAGCATCTTATTATTTGCTGGCAGATCAAAGGCTCCCACCGCTCTAGTCTGAATCCTTGGGGCAGCCCTGAGCACTGTTTACATAACAGCAGTCCAGTTTAAGTAGAATTACCTGAGTATTGAGGAAAAAAATTGTCATGTTTTAAGCTTGAATTTTTAGTTTGCAAAGCAAATTTACTTATGAACGGTGTGTAATTCTTTTGACTTAGATAGCTTAGAAAATATAGAGCATACTGTTTCTTCATGAAGCCCATAAACTTGTGAGTCTGCCAACATTTTCATTATTAAGCCTCACTTTACATCCATCTTGTCTGCTCAAATAAAATGTGGCCATGGACAGCTAATATGAGAGTGGGAGTTATAAACTAGGAGCACTGTATATTAAGTTTTAAAATAAAAATTGTTTACGGTTTTTAGATTTCTTTTGTTTTTTACAGCCATTATATGAGACAGATACTGGAAGCTCTACGCTACTGCCATGATAATAACATAATTCACAGGGATGTGAAGGTAAGTCATTTGTTATCACTAACTTTAATGTTTGTGAAAAAATGCTGATATAGCAATGATAATCAAGAATTCTTTAATATTATCATGAAGAACATCTTAATTTTACTTATAAGTAAAAATGTATTGAACTGCTTTGTATTTGGGAAGTCATTGTACTAATTCTTAACTAGGAACACTATAATTTCAATTTATTTATTTTTACTAAAGTATTCATGCAATCTAAAATTGTATTATTTCTCTTTTGCCATTGTGTGTGTGAGAGAAATGAAAAATCCAATAAATAGGAAAAACCAAACAATATCCTATACTGAGTTAATTGGGGGAAAAATTAGAATTTGGTTTATATAGTATAAGTTAATCATACACATATTTTCATAATATTACAATGCAGAATAGTCAGCATTTTTTTTTTGCAGATAGTTTTTAAATATAGTATGAAATCATAATTATACATATAATACGATTTTATGCTTGGAATACCAATATTATCATTATTCAGTCTTTCTGCCTATTTGATCCCAGTATCGGGTTAATGAGAACTCTCAGTTCCTGGTTTTTTAACGGTGTCAAGCCAAACATAGAGGGAGGCAAGAAACGAGACCAATAGGCCTTCCTCCTGATCCCTAGCTTCTCCCAAGGCCCAGAATCACTAGGGAGCCCCTGAGGTCCCTTTGGCCCTGGGCTACACTTTTAAGCTCTGATGTTTTGTCACTGGTCTTTCTCTAACCTCCAGCATGTGCAGACATAGCGTTCCTTCCCTCGAGATATATTATTAAAGGCCTGGCTTCTTCAATGTATTTAATACTTTAAATGATTAAGAAAATTAAGCAGAGTTTAATTAAAGTGTCTATAATGTTTGGAAAATTTTCACAGAAATCCTTGTAGTTAAAAGCTGAGGGAAAGCATGAGCAATTCCAAAACCATCTAGTAAAATATTTTAATAGCAAATGAAAATCACTGGAGAAATGTACAAAATACACATTAGTGTAAATTAGTTGTAAAATATCTCATTCATCCTTTTCGGATGTGTTAAGAAAATGATATTGTTATTATCAAAACTCAACACCGAGCATCTCAGTGGGTCCCCCTTTATGAAAAAGTATTCTGGCCGAGCCCGGTGGCTCATGCCTGTAATCCCAGCACTTTGGGAGGCCAAGGCGGGTGGATCACCTGAGGTCAGGAGTTCAAGACCAGCCTGGCCAACATGGTAAAACCCCCATCTCTACTAAAAATACAAAAATTAGCCGGGCATGGTGGCGCATGCCTGTAGTCCCAGCTGCTTGGGAGGCTGAGGCAGGAGAATCGCTTGAACCCAGGAGGCGCAGGTTGCAGCGAGCCGAGATTGTGCCACTGCACTCCAGCCTGGGTGACAGAGCAAGACTCCGTCTCAAAAAAAAAAAAAAAGTGTTCTTCAGTTATCCAAAGAGAAATAAAAGTGTGGAAAGGTAAAAGGTGGGAAATTGTCAACTGTAGTAGCTTGCTGTGCAATTAGTTTGCATTAATTAATGTAAGAAAGTTCATATGTAGAGAGTAAAATATATCTCTTTGTATATATTCTAAAATATATACAAGAAAAAAATAGTAATTTAAAAACCTAAAATGTGTTCATGTAATAGCATTATGTTAAGAACTGTTTTGCTCAAGAGGCAATTTTATGTTGAATCAATTATTCTCGAAAGATAATTATATCAGCATCATACAATAAACAATGATTTACAGCATATTATACTGTAATACTTTCAATAATATAGTCAGCTTTTGATTAGCAATGGTATTTGATATGACAACCTAAAACTAAATAATATCCAAAAGTAGATAATTTGACCTCACCTTTTAATTTACCTTCTGATTTATTTATTTAACAAATATTTGAGTGCCTATTTTTTAGAGATTACTGTGCTTGGAGCCCTAAAAGTATTATGGTCTCAGTAGGGAGATAAGGCTGGGCATCTCTTATCTACGGCAGCAGATCAACACATGCTAAAACATAGTGACTTCAATCAATAACTGCTGCTTAGTTGCTCACAATTCTGCAGTTTGGGCAGAGCTTGATAGGGACTGCTCAATTCTGTTTCACAGGACGTTGGTGACGTAGCATGGCTAGTTTCCACATAGACTTCACTCATTTTTCTGGCATCTCAACTGAAGTGAGTAGAACAGCTGGGAGCTGGCTGGGCACTCTTTGCAGTCTCTCATTCAAAACGTCTCTCTCTCTCTCCACGTGGCCCTATGTCCAGCAAGACAGTGTGTTAGGGTTCCAAAAGAGCAAAAATGGAAGGTGTTAGGCCTCCTGAAGCAAACTGACACTGTGTCACATCTTATGCATTTCATTAGTTGAAACATACATCACAAAAAGGTCACAAGGCTAGTCTGAGTTAAAGGGGAAGAAACATAGGTTCATATTTTGATTGATGGAGTGCCAGATATATACAAGGATGGAAGAACTTGTTGGTGGCCACCTTTAGACAGACATAATTATTATGCAAGGTAGAAGGTGATAAGTATCATTAAAAGATGAGGTCAGAGAAATTTCCGGGGGGAGGTCACATTGGAGCTTGGTCTTGAATCATGGGGTAGTTATATGGAGACAAAAAGACATTTCAGGCAGAAGGAATTTGGGCAAAGGCCCAAAAGTAGTCTTACATTGGAGTGTATTAGATTAGTTTATTATTTCTAAAGTACATGCTAAATAATTTAGAGGAAGCACATAGAAACATGCCAAAGAATGAAAAAGAAATAATTCTCAAACTGCAAATTAGTAAGAAGAAACCACCCCAAAAATTGCCATTGTTCAGTTGGGAGACACACTCAACACAGAGCACACATTAATGTTGATTTTTTATTTTATTTTATTTTTTTCCTTTTTTTGAGACAAGGGACTCGCTCTGTCACCCAGGCTGGAGTACAGTGGTGCAATCTCGGCTCACTGCAACCTCTGCCTCCTAGGCTCAAGCAATTCTCATGCCTCAGCCTCCAGAGTAGCTGGGACTATAGGTGTGCGCCACCACACCTGGCTAAATTTTTTTTGTATTTTTTTGTAGAGACAAGGTTTCACCCTGTTGCCCAGGCTGTTCTTGAACTCCTGGGCTTAAGCATTCTTCTTACCTTGGCCTCCCAAAGTGCTGGGATTACAGGCGTGAGCCACCGCGCCCGGTCTTTATATTTCAGAAGCTGAAATCCACACATTTTTACATGGGTGAATAAAATACTCACATTTAGTTCATTGAAAACTTTTAATTTTGGTGTATTTTTCTTAAGACATTCATCCAAAAGATATTTATTGAGTGCCTACTGTGTGGCAGGCACTGTCCTAGGAACTGGAGCTACGTCAGTGAAGAAAACGGACAAAAATCACTGCCCTCATGGAGCTGACATTCTAGTTCAGGGAGACAATACTCAGTAAACAGAAATGAACTAGGTAGTAGGCTAGAATGTGAAAAGTATCACAGAAAAAACTAGAGTAGTCAGAAGGTTAGGGAGTGTCCAGAGAAGGGCTTGCTTTTGTAAATACGGTGGTCAAAGCAGGCCACATTGAGATCATGATATCTGAGCAAGGACTTGGAAGAGAGGAAGTGGGCTAATCTGATAGCTGAGGGAAGAGCATTTTGGGTAAAAGAAACAGCCAGTGCAAAGACCGAAAGACAGGAACACAAGTAGCCTGCTTGAGGAACAGCAAGGAGGCCGGTGTGGCTGAGGTAAAATGTGCAAAGGGGAGAGTAAAAAGGAGACAGGAGATGATCCTGCCTGGCTCAGACCAGAGTAGTAGCAGTGGAGGTAGTAAAAAAATAAAAAATTAGTTAGATTCCTGATATATTTTGAAGATTATGTCAATAGGATTTCCTAATATAACTTTGGTAAACTAGGTAAAACTTAGTTTTATTCAAGACCTTGTTACAGGGGTATTCCAACATAGCGGTCATTGTGAAACTTCAAGAACAATACATTTCACATGCTAATAATGTAAATTTTCACTTGGTTTGATTTGTTAATATTTTTGCCAATAAAGCAACCTATGAGCTTTTCTTTCCATTCAGATATATATTCAGTGACTTATCTGTATGTAGGTTTTTGTTTCTGCAGTTAAGTTTTTGTCTAAGTTTTCTTCCCTTATATTTAATAAAGAAAATAGAAGAGCATTGCAATGTTTTATTTCTCTAAGAAAAATTTATTTTATCATCTGTTTCATCTAGCCAAGAATATTCTCATTCTCTCTCTCTCTTTTTCTCTCTCATAATTCTTGGCATATGATCCAAAAGCATTACATTTCCCAAGGATCCTATTATTATATTTACTAATACTTTTTTCTTTACTTTTTTACTAAAGGCATTTCCTTTTGTAATCATTGTAACTGAGTACTTAAAAGGATTGTTTGGCTAGATTTGAGTATATGGTACCATGTGATCTGTTTTTGGGAACTGCTTGCTCTGAAGAAGCAATTTCACATAAAATTGCATAAAAAGCAATCACATAATCCTTTGAAATTCGAGAGATGTGTGAACATAGTACTGGGCCTCCCCACAGCCATACTTATTGACATTTTGGGCTATATTCTTTGCTGTGAGAGGCTGTCCTGGGAATTGTAGGATGCTGCTAAGCATCCTTCACCCACTAGATGCCAGTAGCATCTCCCCCTAGTTGTGACAACCAAAAATGTCTCCAAACATTGCTAAATGTTCCCTGGGGCACAAAAATTGTCCCTGGTTAAGGCCTGCTGTCATTAATAGACTTATAATTCTCAAGATTTGCCTCCCTACAGGTATTAATTAAGGCATGCATATAAATTTCTATTTTTTTCTGTCATCTTCTTCCCTTTAATTCTACTTTTTCTTGTGAAAGAATGTGAAAACTTTCGTTATGTTTCTGGTACTTTTTTTTTCTTCCTCTCACCCTTGAATTAAAAGTACTTTAGAAAGAAATAGCACAGTTGTCAAGGTAAATGCAACTCCTGGCTCTTTGCCTTCTTTCATGGGCTTTACTAAGCACTGAGAGTTCGTGGAAGT